TCGTTTAACTGTTAAACTCATAAGTTATTACCACAGTGTGTTTTACTAAAATCAAAGATCCTTCTAATAGAGATTAATACACAAAAAAGGGAGGAAACATACAACACTTTGGGTTAGAAAGTATATGGGAATCACTTCTGTCCAGTATTTCTACTCCCACTTAAAATTCTGGATATTTAAATTCTTTTCCTTTGGCTATATAAGCCTAATCTTGAACAAACATACAAGTGGTTGATATTTCGCTAAGCAGTTAAAGCTGTTGTTTTCTCACAAATGGAAATCTGTATCCATCTTCGCAGCAAAGGATAACTACTCATGGTCTAACTAATGGTCTAAAAGCCCCATGATCTGCAGATCTGAGTACTGCTTGCCTGAGAAATGCAAACACCATCTCAGTGAGGCAAAAAGAGGTCAAGGATTCATTTCCTTGCCTGGCCCCAGGGAATAGGACCACATATTCCAAAACAATGCCGCAGAAGAACAGCCTGGAAAAAATTCAGTAATTCAGGCAACTCAACCTAGTTCCAGGAGAAAAAGGAACTTGAGTTATGCAGAGCTTTGTGCCACTCTCATGAAAGATTAGCCTTGTGTATGGACTGCTAAACAAGAACTGAAACACTCTGTGCTTCCCACATAAGCTCTATTGCTGAGTGCCACTTCCTGTGACCACAACAGAGGGGTTATCAGAAACAAAACCTCTCCCGATTTGTCCCGTGTGCAAGCACCGCTGGGCCACACGCTTGAAGAAGCTCAGAGCACTTGGCAAAGGGTCTACTGAGCCTGCTGCAGCCCTGCATTTCAGTGCAGAAGAGACTTAAATAAACTTGGAGAAGCAGGGGAAACTGTCAGGAGCCTGCCCTGGGGGAAGGACTAGGAGACTGAGTCCCAAAGGCATTTGTTTATTCTGTTATCAGCTGAGTCACTCCCTATATGCGCAATGTTCCCACTGAGTCACACCCTGCCTCACACCAGGTATTTGATTCTTAAGGAAACAGGAACCCTGGAGGTAGCTACTACTTCCCCTTCATTTTAGACATGTAAAAACTGATACACAACGGCAATTAGTAATTATTGCAATATCCTAGCTTTTAAGAAATTGAGCCATGCATGTAGCCAAGGCCCACTGCATCCCACAAGCATGCAGGTAATCATTATGCTGCACTATCTGTCCACTATTCCAGCCGAGCAGTAAATAAAGCCTACTTCACATTCCTAGATCTTAGCATATGGATTACTTATTGCTGATGAGTTATTCAATTACAGTTAAGGTTTGATCCCAACAAGAAAGCTAAAGTCTCTTCCTGTATCAAAACAATCTCAAATATACCTACGACTAAGGGGCCATTCCAGTCGTTCTCAAGAAAATTTAGAAATGTCTGGGGACATGTCTGGTTGTGCAAATCATGGGTTTCTACTGGCACTTAATGGATACAGGCCAGGGATGTGGCTAAACAACCAACAATGCACAAGACAGCCCATCCACATGAAACTGAAACCCAAAACACAGTCAACAGTGAGTGTCAAGTTGAGAAACCCTGGACTATTCCAAACATGACGGGTGAAAACTTGCAAATCCATCCTGACTAGGGTAAAGGCTAATAGTGGATGGCTATTTTCCTGGCCCCCAAAGTTCAGCACTGGGCAAGACTGTATGACCACGTATCCATCGGAGGTCACGAGGTGCCTATGCCACACCTCACCCTCCACTGGCAGCTCCCATGATCCACTTGCATAATCACAAAGTGAAGACAGGCTGGAGTTCTTAGACACGCCCAATATGCCAGACTCCAACTCTGCCACAAGCTCTGCTAAAAGTGTTTTAAGGGAAGTGGTTAGAAAACAAAGACTATGTTTGGACATTATCAGTTTATAATCCATCCTAATCCAGCCCCTATTCTATGCATAATCGAAAGTTGGATCTATTTGTAGCAGAAATTCAGATTTCTTTTATCTTCATGGGTTGTAAAGTTTGTGAATAGGAAGATCAAGAGGGAATCAACAGAGGGCTGAGTTTATGCATCGGTGGAAGAGGAAGTTCTTGGGTATCTGCAATTCGGCCTAAGAACACTCAGATATTTCTAAACGTAAAAACTTTAGCACAGCTCCTCACTGAAAGTATGTGACCACAGCATTCAGCCAATTTTAAGTTATATTAACACATGTTGGTCACTGACCTGGATTCTAACTGAAGGTAAAGTCAATGGGTCATAGCAAGAGTTAGGATCAAGTGACCTGATCAAGAGCTCACATCTAATGTCACAGAAAACTGGCTGAAGGTAACAGCAGGGAGCAGAGCAGCAAGCAGTGCCAGGAGCCCCAGGGGATCCACCTGTGGCATCCAAACCAGATGCAGCAAATCCGGGTTTTTCCCTACAGAAGAGTTTCCACCATTTATAGGTTAATGTTACTTGTTGTAATCACCATTCATGATGTTCGACTCTATAGTTCTCTTTATGTCAGTGGAGATAGAAAGCTGGGTCAAAATTAAAATCAGAAATTCATTTTAAACACTTTTAGAAACTGGCAAATAAAAAGAAGGTTCTGTATGCTGCAGTTTCTGCAAGATAACTGAAGAAACTGAAGGCATCCACATCGTGCAGAACCTTAAACTCAGATGAAAAAAAATAATATATACTCTCAAGCGTACACACATGCACATTCCTTTCCTGAAAAAATAGAAAATACTGGCTGATTCCTCAAGATGCGACTCCAGGAAAATGTTGAAGGGACTGTGTACAGGATCATAGAAAACATGCTGCCTCCACATTCTTTCAGGAGCAAGGGAGACCTGGCTTGGAGTCAAGCAGACATTAGTCTGAATACTGTCTGGCTATGAGCTAGCTGCCCTTTGATGAGTTATGTAACCATTTTAAGAATCAGTTTCTTCATCTGTAAAACGGTGGTAAAGGCTACTCATTGGCAAGCCTTCATCACGTTACCCAAGATCTTAGGCCATCCACGTTCCCCACCATGATAGCATCTCGTGGCAGTCTTGATGCGTGTTCCTATAGCTCTCTCACCCCAAAACAACTTCCCTCTTCTTAGCCCTGCTAAAACCAACTCATTTGTCAATATTCATTATCACATGCTCCAGGAAGGCTGCCCTGATGCCACCATTCCTGAAGCTGGATATGTGCTCACTCTGTTCCTGCACTTCTTTCTTCAATGATGGTCCAATGTCACACCTTGAAGTGTCCCTCTGTTCAGCCTCCCCCTAGACTGGAATCTTCCTGAGAGTTCCCTGATATGTTTCCACGGGGCATGGCAAGCAAGTTCTGATGGCTTTAGTGAGAAAATGAACAAAAGCCTTGGCAAAGGAAGAAATATCAGGGATAAAGAGGAGCCAAAGGTTACAATGTACTTTAGAAACAGAAGATTTCAACAAGGGGAAATCAATGACATCTAATGCTGCAAAGAGGTCAGGAAACAGGATAACTGAGAAAAAGACAACAGACTTAAAAATTAGGTCCCTGACAGCTTCTGAGAAGTGTGGTGAGTGTCAAACATTTAATGCTCTGGGTGATGAAAAAAGATAAGGGGTGGGAGGGTTCCTTCTTCTGAGGGTGAAGGAGAAAGTGAGATTCTCCTTGATTGAGCCTAGAGAGGGCACAGACAAGAGTGCCCAGGAATGCAGAACAGGGATGAGACAGCCACTGGCAGGATCTGACAGAAAGCTGCAGTGGTTTCAGTGTCCCTTTCAAAATTCATTTGAAATTGATTTGCCATTGTGATGGCATTAAGAGGTGGGACCTTTAAGAGATGATTCAGTCATGAGGGCAAAGGCCTCGTGAACAAATTAATGATACTATCACAGAAGTTGGCCCTCTTTTTCTCTCAGTCTTGCATGCTCACTTGCCCTTCCACCACGACGCAGCAGGAAGGACTCACTAGATGCATCCCCTCCAACCTGGGCTTCACAGAATCCAGAACCATGAGCGAAATTCATTTTATTTCTTTATAAATGACTCGATCTGTAGTATTCTGTTACAGCAGCAGACAACAGACTAACACAGGAGCTAAGTAGAAGAAGGATTTCTGAGAAATAAGGGGAATGTAGCCAATTATAGAGAAAGAACAGTAACTTCTGTGAAATTGATTTGCATCGTGGACAGGTCTATGACTTAGAAGTACAGTACATTGTTTACCTAGCCCTAAGGAGTCACAGTGATGGGAGAGAAAGCCAGGGCCAATAGGCAGGGTGAAAGAAGTTCAAAAATATCCAGCTCTCCGTGGGAAAAGGCTAGGAGCCTCATGACAGACAGAATTAAGAAGCTCTAGTAAATAATATGAAATATTTTAAAGATACAAAATATATTTTAATAACATGACTATAAATATATGACACATAAATACTATGAAAACCATGTAGAAGATCACACAGGCATCAAAAAAAAAAGTGTTACACATTAGGGCAAGAGAGATTAAAGTGGCAAGAAAATGGCTTTAGTAAGTTTAGAAACGTATACAATGATTACATACATCTATACTATTTTCTACTGGCAAAGAATCAGCTAGATAACAAGTATTTATCTCATAGAAAAAGGTCCAGAGCACCATAATACATGGTGCTTTTGATGTCTGGACTGAGAGGAAGGAAAAAAATATAAAAGTTGTGCCTTTATAGGAACTGAACAAAGAACAGGAAGAAAAAAGCACATCATAAGTGGGTACTGATAAAAGGATTATTTGAAGGCAATCCATTCTTCATAGATACTTTTATTTCTAATTATGAAATAATTTAAATATACAAAACAAAACTGTAGACACTAATGTTGGTAACACCAATGTACTAGTCACTAGTGTTAACAGATAGTAACATTAGGCATATTTGACTCAAAATTTAAGAAATAAAATATCACAGATACAGCAAAATCCAAACACCCTACCACTTACAAGCTCCCACTTGTAAGTTAAAACGTGGTATTTGGTTGGGTGTAAGGAGGCTGGACTTGCTCCTACTTCCCTCTCTGGAAGTAAGCAATATTCTTTTCTTCTTTTAGGTTCAGCAGTTACATGTGCAAATTTGTTATCTGGGTATATTGTCTGACACTATCCTTTTGGGCTTCTATTGAACCAACACCCAAATAGTGAACATAGAACCCAAGAGTAAGTTTTTCTACCATTTTCCCCCTTCCTACCTTCCTGCTTTTGGAGTCTCCATCGTCTACTGTTCCCACCTTTGTGTCCATGTGTATCCAATGTTTAGCTCCCACTTATAAGTGAAAATATGTGGTATTTTGTTTTTCGTTTCTGTGTTAATTCACTTAGGATAATTCACTTAGGCCTCTAGCTACATCCAAGTTGCTGCAAAGGACATGATTTATTTTGTATGGCTGCATAGTATTCCATGGTGTATATGTACTATATTTTCTTTAACCAATCCACCACTGATGGGGCACCTAGGTTGATTCTATGGTTTTGCTGTTGTGAATAATGCTATAATAAACATGTGAGTGAAGGTGTCTTTTTGGTAAAACAATTTGTTTTCCTTTGAGTATATACCCAGTAATGGAATTGCTAGGTGAAATGATAATTTTATGTTTAGTTCTATGAGAAATCGCTATACTGCTTTCAATAGGGACTGAACTAATTTACAATCCCACGTATATAAGTGTTCTTTTTCTGCAATCTTGCTGACATCTTTTTTTTTTTTTGACTTTTCAATAAAAGCATCAATGTTGTGAGATTAGAGTATATCATTTACAACCAGCACATGTTCCCTACTGCCCTAGGCCATTGAGATTATTACTCCATGCAGAACTTAATCTCCTTTGTTCCAAAGAAAACTTCATGATCTTTTAGGAATATTCTAAGTAAATATAAGATGATCACAATCACCACCTCTCAAGTAGGTATAAAATACTTATTTACATTTCCAAGAGACCATAAGGATGGGAAGATTATGATGAAATGTAATGAATAAACTTGGTCAAAGATCCTAGATTTAAGGGCTACCTGGAATATAATTTTTGTCTAAAGTCCCAACTACAACAAAAATATTTCACTCTCATCACCATTTAGCTAACTCACAGAGTAGTACATGGGCCAGCAGCATATGATGCTGTATTAGCTATTTTCACACTGCTGATAAAGACACACTTGAGACTGGGAAATTTACAAAAGAGGTTGACTGGACTTACAGTTTCACATGGCTGAGGAGGCCTCACAATCATGGTAGAAGGTGAAAGGCACATCTCACATGGCAGCAGACAAGGAAAGAGAGCTTGTTCTGGACAACTCCCATTTTTAAAATCATCAGATCTCATGAGACCCATTTACTATCACAGGAACAGCACAGAAAGACCTACTTCCATAATTCAATCATCTCCCACCAGGTCCCTCCCACAACACATGGCAGTTATAGGAGACACAAGATGAGAGTTGAGTGGGGACGCAGAGCCAAACCATATCTTCCATCCCTGGCCCCTCCCAAATCTCACATCTTCATATTTCAAAACAAATCATGTCTTCCCAACAGTCCCCCAATGCCTCAATTCATTTCAGCATTAACTCAAAAGTCCACAGTCCAAAGTCTCATCTGAGACAAAGCAAGTCCCTCTGCCTATGAGCCTGCAAAATCAAAAGCAAGTTAGTTACTTCCTAGATACAATAGGGGTACAGGCATTGGGTAAATACAGCCATTCTAAATGAGAGGAACTGGCCAAAACAACGAGGCTACAAGCCCTACCTAAATCCAAAATCCAGCAGGGCAGTCATATCTTAAAGTTCCAAAATGATCTCCTTTGACACCACGTCTCACACCCAGGTCACACAATGCAAGAGGTGGGTTCCCATGGTCTTGGGGAGCTCCACCTCTGTGGCTTTACAGGGTATAGCCACCCTCCTGGCTGTTTCATGGGCTGGCATTGAGTGTATGCAGCTTTTCCAGGCCAATGGTGCAAGCTGTCAGTGGGTCTACCATTCTGGAGTCTGGAAGATGGTGGCCCTCCTCTCACAGCTCCACTAGATGGTGCCCCAGTAGGAACTCTGTGTGGAGGCTCCAACCCCACATTTCCCTTCCATACTGCCCTAGCAGAGGTTCTCCAAAGAGCCCCGCCCCCGCAGCAAACTTCTGCCCAGACATCCAGGCATTTCCACACATCTTCTGAAATCTAGGTGGAGGTCCTGAAACCCAAATTCTTGACTTCTGTGCAATCGCAGGCTCAACACCACATGGAGGTTGCCAAGGCTTGAGGCTTGCACCCTTTGAAGCCATGGCCCAAGCCCTATGTTGGCCCCTTTTAGCCACACTAGAGCAGCACACCAAGGGATACAGCACACCAAGTCCCTAGGCTGCACACACCACAGAGACCCAAGGTGGGGCCCATGAAGTCACCTTTTCCTTCTAGGCCTGCCATGAAAACCTCTGACATACCCTGGATACATTTTCCCATTGTCTTGGGGATTAACTTTCAGCTTATCATTGCATACCCAGCTTGAATTTCTCATCAGAAAATGGGATTTTCTTTTCTATCACATTGTCAGGCTGAAAATTTCCTGAACATTTATGTTCTGCTTCCCTTATAAAACTGAATGCCTTTAACAGCACCCAAGTCACCTCTTGAATGCTTTGCTACTTAGAAATTTCTTCCATTAGATACCCTAAATCATCTCCCTCAAGTTTAATGTTCCACAATCTCTGGGGTAAAGGCAAAATGCCACCAGTCTCTTTGCTAAGACATAGTAAGAGTGACTTTTGCTCCAGTTCCCAAGAAGTTCCTCATTTCCATCTGAGACCACCTCAGCATGAACTTTAAAGTCCATATCACTATCAGCATTTTGGGCAAAGCCATTCAACAAATCTCTAGGAAGTTTCAAACTTTCCCACATTTTCCTGTCTTCTTCTAAGCCCTCCAAACTGTTCCAGCCTCGGTCTGTTACCCAGTTCCAAAGTCACTTCCATATTTTCAGGTATCTTTTCAGCAACATCCCACTCTACTGGTACCAATTTATTGTATTAGTCCATTTTCATGCTGCGGACAAAGACATACCTGAAACAGGACAATTTACAAATGAAAGAGGTTTATGGGACTTACAATTTCATGTGGCAGGAGGCCTCACAATCATGGTGGAAGGTGAAAGGTACGTCTTACATGGTAGCAGGCAAGAGAAGAGAGCTTGTGCAGGGCAACTTCCATTTTTAAAACCATCAGATCTTGTGAGACCCATTCACTATCATGAGAACAGCACACATACACCCACCCCCATAATTCAATCATCTCCCACTGGGTCCCTCCCACAACACATGGGAATTATGGGAGCTACAAAATCAGATTTGGGTGAGGACACAGGGCCAAACCATATCACATGCCAAACTCCAGACATAAGGAATCTCAGTCCTCATTTTAGCAAGATCCCAGGTAATGTGTATGCACATTAAAGTTTGAGGAGCACTGATTTAAAGAATTCAGAAATATGAAAACCTAGACCAAGGCAGAACCAAATCCAATGACACTTTTGCTTAAACCTATCCTCCTCCTATCAGACCACAAGGCTTTCAGGTGTTATCTCTGCAAAGTCCACACGTTAGTCTCATTAGACTGGTGGTAATCAAATGAGGGCAATTTTGTCCCTCAGAGGACATCTGGCAAAGTCTTGAAACATTTTGATTACCCTAACTTAGGCAGGGGGTTTCTGGTGTCTAGAAGGCAGAAGTCAGAAATGCTGCTAAACATCTTACAATGCAGAGGACAGCTCCCCAAAACAAATAATTAGCTGGCCCAAAATATCAATAAGACAAAGGTTTTTAAAAAAACAAAACAATGAAAAAACCCACCTGCAATCAGACCTATGATTTCTTGGCTAAGAGGATGGATTGTTATATTTAGTCATTTGATAAACTGATTTGAGCATCCATATCCAAGGGAGGGGTGGAATATAAACCAATAACCAAAACCACTTCATGCCCAAGCTCTCAAAGGGTTTAAGTTCCTACAAGAGGCTACAACCAAATCAATAATTATCAATACTGACAACAAACAGCAAGTACAATGAAACAACAAATGCACATGTTGAAGTATTTCACAATTATACAAGTTGGAATTTAAGAAGTAGACATATTTCCCCAATAGAAAGTCTGGTGCTCACTTAATTCTTGTTTGTTTGTTTTTTTTCTTTCCTGTAATGCAGGATCTTCAAAGAAAAATCACTTTGGCCACTTCAAGACGACAAGCACTCACTGGGCAAAATTACTTCATTGAAAAGAGGCTTCATATTATGCAAAAAAATTTAAAAAGGTAATTTTTTAAATCTCTCAAGTACTATCAAGAGCTTTGTTGATTTCATCAAAGTGCTATGAAGGAATAATTCTTTTCTTCAGAGAAAAACTTACAGCTCACAATTAGGATGGTAGAAGGTGGTCTAATACAAGAGGAAAGTAGGTCATGGTATACAATTACACAGATGATTAATGAACTCAGAGCTGACTAAGCATGCTTTCATTAAGATTAATGTATTTCTGGAGTGAGCATTGCTTTGCATAGCCTTGTATCAATTAAATTCTGTCCAAAGAGAGAACCCTGAGGTTATAAGTAATACATGACAACTTGAAAACACCTCATGCAGCACAATCTTAAGGTATTACACTGTGCTAAGGGACAAGCACACTCACTATCTAAATCAGATTGAATCTGGCACTGACATTCTTTCTAGCTGTGCAAATAAAAGTTGGTAGAAGGAAAGCAATCTACAAAATGTTCCTACTACACTTTAATAACTGTCTTTTGGCCTCATAAATCTCATTCTGCCATGTTCTTTAATTATGTTACCAAAGACGATAGTATGTTACCAAAGTGTTAGTAGACAATATAGGCTAAAACATTTCAAACCACTTCATTCTCATGTATCTAGATTTGTGAAACAAGGCAGAGTTTCACCTAAGAAAATTTTAAGACTTACACTGTTACAGTAACCCTTTTTAAAAAGTTTAGCTATGTATATAAATCTTTCTTAAATGTGATCTCTAGAATTTGACAACTTTCACTACAGAAATTCAGTGATAACATCAGAAGTAACTATCAATGAGCAGGGCTCCACAGACAGACACCTATACAAACTGGCTCACCAGAATGCCTGCTTACCCAGTAATCCAGTTAATCATCATCCAGAAGTCTTGTTCATCTCTTAATATTTTTGCTGTTGCCTACCTCTCATTTTTAATGGACTGGCATAAACTGGTAAGAAACAATGAATAAACTGAGTGAGAAGTGGGCAGGGAAAGGAAGGTTACTGAGCACACCAAGAGCTTCTTTTCTGATTCTTTTGATTCTTATTTATTTTTACATTGTTTGTATCAACATGAGGATAAAACTATTTCCTTCATTAGTGAAAAGATTTGAAGTTTCTTTAAGTTCCTGTATCAGGATAGTAAACCATCTCAATCTATACTAAAGGTAAGGAGAGGAGACTGAGGTCAAGGTCAAAATGATGCATGTCTTTTTTAATGATTTTGTCCTGATTTTCATACAACACATATTCCTGCCTTTTGGTCTGAATATATAATTTGGTTTCACTTGCCTTAAGAGAGCTCCTTTTCCACACATCTCTCAGTCTATTACTGGTCTGATCTGCCCTACAGAAAAGGCTACCATGCTCTCAGACATGAGCCTCAGGGAATGAACCCATAGGATAGAATGCCCTTACCATTAACACCACTGCTTTAAAAAAAAAAAAAAAGAAAGAAAAGAAAAAGCAATATTTAAGAGTTCAAAAATTACTACCAAGAGTATCTTCAAATTTATCTTTAGTTTGTTCCTTTAAGATGAATAAATTTGTCCCGGTCTGAGCCTCTGCTGTATCAAACCAGACAGTGGCACGGCGTAGCAGATGCACCCAACTAGCATATCTAAACCTTTCATCCTAAAATGGAGTCCCATCTGCAATTGCATCAAAGCTGACAAAATAGCAGTAAAGTGTCTGGGGAAAGGATCCAGGTAAGCTGTGTGCATTCACTCCATTTCAGGAGGCAAAGCTGCTTTAGAAGTTTACCTAGGTCAGCCAGCCCCTTCTATCCAACTCAAAGTGGTGGGAGCAGTGAAGGGGAATGGTGCATATGACCAGAGCATATGCATGCAGATTCCCAGCACCCTGAGGAATTGGAGAGCAGAGTTCTGGACCTGCAGCAACAGGCCACATGCAGCAATATTGCACCTCAGAAATATTAAAGACACAAGACTCTAAGAAAATAATTTTATAAGGGTTTCTATAAGAAAAGGAATTATGTCTCTCATTAAATCATTTCTGGGATTCTTTGCTATTTCTATAAATAGTGGTTTCTATATTTCTAAAAGGAAAGGAATTTGGCTCTCATTAAATTATTTCTGGGAAATTATTCACTATTTCACTACATAATTGTATATTACATAGTTAATATTTCTATTCCTCAAAATAACATCTACAGTTTATTTTATATTTTAAACTAAAGTGAATCCCACAAGTACCCAGCATCTACCAATGACAAGGCACTGGGGGGTTGTGTGCCTAGGACTGGGAAACCAAATTAGACCTGGGAATACAGCAGCGTGCATTCTCTCAAGCCCTGCAAGACTGGCATTTAAATCAAAATGCATCTAACTGTCAGGAGACAGTTACCAGAGAAATTAGTTACCAGACACAAACTCTTAGTCACAGTAGACAGTTAAAAATAAAAAATGTGCTCCCTCTCCCCATATTTAAAATATGAAACAGGCTGATATGCAGAATGGCCATAGAAGACCTACAAAGAAGCAAATGAGTACAAACCCACTATGCCCAGAGCCAAGCACACAAGGCTAGAGGGAAGGGGAGGAATAGTGCCAGTGAAAGGTTTTGCGGAGCAAGTGATCTGGGGTACTCATTCCTTCTATAGCAAGTCCATAGAACTGACAAAATCAAGTGGCTATCAATATTGCTAGTATTGCCATAAAGCAAAACGGAAGCACACAGGAAAGGAAAATATGCAGAAAGAAGATATTCTTGTGTAGGAAGTCGCACACAAGTTTACATGGATGTAATAATTTTGTGTGGAACGTGACTGTATTTCATATTCCATGTTTCCAAACATCCTTTTGTCACGCTTACATTTATTGACCTAGTTTGTCATTCACTGTGATAAGCACTGTGCTGGCACCACAAATACAGATGAAAAAGATGCATTCTCTGACATCAAGGTACCCACCATCTCCACAATCTTTCCTTCCCATGATCCCTAAATAAATCTTAAGAGCAAGGATTCATGCCTTGTATTGCCAGAGTACATACTCATTTATTTCACAAATATTTTAACTATCTAATGTCCTAAATATTATGCAAAGGATACAATGGTAAAAAAAAAAAAAAAAAAAATGACATGTTCTCTCTCCTCTGAAGGAGCTTGTAGTAGAGGAAGAAACAAACAGTTGGAGAGAGGAGTGTTGTGATAGGAGGAAGACACAGGATGATAAGCACACACCCAATCCACCCCAAACAAGTCTCGGAAAGGTGAGGTTTCCTAAGGAGGGTGACAGCTAAGCTGAGGCCTTGAGGATGAAGAGAAGTTAGCCAGCCAAGAATGTATGGAAACAGTTTTCCACACAAATCAAAGTCTGTGCAAAGATCCAAGCTGACAGAAATCACAGAACCTAAAAGAAGGCAGAAGGGCCCAGGAAGGAAGAAATTCAGTGCTGGGAGTGGAGGAAGCAGGAGGCAGATCAAGAAGGGACTTCAACATTACAGACTTAAGACGTTCTGCTGAGGGCAAGGACAGACTCCTAAAGGGTTTTAGGCAGGATATTGGTATTACTCACATATAAGATGGGCAGTAAACATTTGTTCCAATATATCAAATAACCTTTCGAATTTAATTCTAGTCTTCCCTCTGCCCTAAATCAACACTTCCGATATCAGTGAACAATATACAGGATTCCTAAAGAATAGAAGTTCTGGATAACACCTAGCACAGCACTGTCCAATAAAAACATAATGTGAACCACATATGTAATTTAAAATTTTCTAGTAGCCAGAGTCTTAAAAAGGAAAATTAGGTGAAATTTAAGATTAATAATATATTTAATACAGTTTTTCTAAAATACTACTTCAACATGTGGTCAATATTAAAATTATTGAGATATTTTTCATTATTTTCATGCCAAGTCTGCAAAGTCTAGTGTACATTTTATACTTACAGAACATCTCAATCTGGATTGGCCATATTTCAAGTGCTCAATACTCACACGTGGCTAGTGGCTACCACATTGAACAGCACAGATGTAGAATGTACTTTGGGAAGCATGTTTCAGATGTTTAAAGTACTTTTTATCATGTTTTCTAATTTATAAAAATAATGGAAATCAGTTTTTCAATGGGAAAAAAAAAACAGAAAAGCTCAATATTTAAAAGGTGTGCATAATCCCATACCAAAAATGCCAGTTACATTTGAATGTGTATGCTTTTTACACACTGTCTTATGTCCAACATATATGCAGAGTATGCTTTTTTAAAAGAAAATCTGTCTGAATAGCACTTAATATGTAAATATTTAGAATGATTTTTATGAATCTATAAAAAAATTTTTTAGAAAAAATCCTATTTCTAACATAGGTTTAAAAAATACATTATACATGGAATTCTGAATAAAATAAGACATTAATACTGCTTTTACAGTTACTACCTTTTAAGATTATACCTAAATGAGTGTTTCCTAGAACTCTGAAGTTTTACAGGGAACCACTATTATTTTAGGGACATGCTGGTCTCCACATTACCTAGAAGGTCTCACACTGCCCTGCTGCTTCAGTTTCTCTTTACTGCCACCTGTCTGCTCCATTCTTCCCTCTCCATTGCCCAAAAAAAAGGAAGAAAGAAGAAAAGGAAGGAAGAGGCAGGGAAAGCGGTGGGCGGGGGAGAAGGGAGAAAGAAAAAAGGAGGAAGGGGGAAGTGGGTAAAAGGGGAAAGAGAGAGGGAAGGGAGAAAAGGAGGGTCAAAAGAAAGGGAAAAACAGAGGCGGGGGAGGGAGGAGTGTCTAACTTACACAGAGTAAAAAGTTGGCTTCAAAAATTGATAGATTTGACTATATTCATTGTTCTCTGCCTTACTATTCAGCAAGTATCTTAGAGGCCATAAGTGCCCTGTGAGTGACTAGTTCACATATCTTTTCAGGCCTCTGCCTTCAGAAGTTACAAGATGATCAATTCGACCTCCACACAGCCTCCAAATGAATCCTGCTTTCAGAACATCCTGATCACTCAGCAGATCATTCCTGTGCTGTACTGTGTGGTCTTCATTGCGGGAATCCTTCTCAATGGAGTGTCAGGATGGATATTCTTTTACGTGCCCAGCTCTAAGAGTTTCATTGTCTATCTCAAAAACATTGTTATTGCTGACTTTGTGATGAGCCTGACTTTTCCTTTCAAGATCCTTGGCGACTCGGGCCTTGGCCCCTGGCAGCTGAACGTATTTGTGTGCAGGGTCTCTGCCGTGCTCTTCTACGTCAACATGTATGTCAGCATTGTGTTCTTTGGGCTCATCAGCTTTGACAGATATTATAAAATTGTAAAGCCTCTTTGGACTTCTTTCATCCAGTCAGTGAGTTACAGCAAACTCCTGTCAGTGATAGTATGGATGCTCATGCTCCTCCTTGCTGTTCCAAATATTATTCTGACCAATCAGAGTGTTAGGGAGGTTACACGTATAAAATGTATAGAGCTGAAAAATGAACTGGGACGGAAGTGGCACAAAGCATCAAACTACATCTTCGTGGGGATTTTCTGGATTGTGTTTCTTTTGTTAATCATTTTCTATACTGCTATCACGAGGAAAATCTTTAAGTCCCACCTTAAATCAAGACGGAATTCCACGTCGGTCAAAAAGAAATCCAGCCGCAACATATTCAGCATCACGTTCGTGTTTTTTGTCTGTTTTGTACCTTACCACATTGCCAGAATCCCCTACACAAAGAGTCAGACCGAAGATCATTACAGCTGCCAGTCAAAAGAAATCTTGCTGTATATGAAAGAATTCACTCTGCTACTCTCTGCTGCAAATGTATGCCTGGACCCTATTATTTATTTCTTTCTATGCCAGCCATTTAGGGAAATCTTATGTAAGAAATTGCACATCCCATTAAAAGCTCAGAATGAACTAGAAACTTCCAAAACCAAAAGAGGAAATACAATGCTTGAAAGCACAGAGACTTTGTGAGTTCCTACTCTCTTCCAAATAAAGACCATGTGTGCATGTTGTCACCAATTACATAACAGAAATGAAGAAATATGTGCCTCATCATAAGTAACATCTCTATCATTACTATCCAATTTAGTTCAATAAAATTCATGTAAGTTTCCATCCTTTTTGTAACATTAAAGAAAACATATCCATCAGTAATTTCTCTCCTAATACTGACCTTTCTATTCTCAGTTAATAAAAAAAAAATACATACAATTATTCAATTCTATTCTATTAAAATAGGTTTAAGTTTATAACCACTAGTGTGGTCAGTTAATGTAGAAATTTAAATAGTAAATAAATAGGAAGTAATCAAAGACAATTAACTCAGGCGTCGTCTTTCTCTAAACACGAGAATCTAGTCTGTAATTGTTTTCCACACTGTACTTAAAAACCAACTTAAAAGCAGGCACAGATTGATGAAGGGCTAGAGGGCTGTTTGCAACAAAAAAGTTGTTTTCTGTTGATTTGAACAGCAAGATAAGCAGACACCCATAAAATCACTTAAGAAACCCCTTATTGGTTTATTTCAAGGCACTGCAAAGGAAAAGGGATATTAATTGTATACTTAGCAAGAAAAAAATTTTATCTGATGCGCTTTGAGGATATTAGATATATGCTACATATGTCTTCTACAAAGATTTATCATGCCATTTAATGAGCCTGGGGTTCTGGTGTTAGAATAGTTTTAAGTAGGCTCTACCAAGAGAAACTATATATTGGCATATGTTATTAGCAACTTCCCCTGTTCAACAGTATGGGAAAAATAAGTGATTGTGGAAAAAGTCACACTCACACCCGAGAACATATATTATTCTACTGGGGAATAGGAAAGGAGACCATTTTCTTAGAAAGCAAATGAACTTGATTTTTCTCATCTAAAATTTCATGAATTTGTGCAAAATAACACATAAAATGAAAATTCAAAAATTCACACATCATCTTTTCTGGAAAAACAGGTGAATTTTACATCTAGAGATATGGCATATGGTTACTGGCTTATGAGCTACTCAAACTAAACTATTTCTCTGCTATTAACTGGCTAGAAGACACTCATCCATTTTTCAAATGTTCTTGCAAAATATCTTTATAAGTAATGTGTGTATCTATTTCATTCTTTACTGTCTATATACTAATAAAGAAATTTTGTAATACTTTTTTTTCTTAATAATCAACATTTGAGAAAACATTACCAGATTTCCTCACAGCCAAGACATAGGTGGTTTCTTTCTATGCTCAATTATGCATGCTAATACAAGGGAGACAGTTACATAGAGAATTAAAAAATTCTATCTGCCAATGACTTTTCAGAATAAGTACTGCAGATTGGGCATAGTGGCTCATGCCTATAACCCCAATACTTTTGGAGGCAAAGGTGGGCAGATCACTTAAGTTCAGGAGTTCAAGACCAGCCTAGGCAACATGGTGAAACTCTGCCTCCACCAAAAATAAAATTACCCAGACATGGTGGCATACAAATATAGTCCCAGTTACTAGGGAGGCTGAGGTGGGATGATCACCTGGGCCTAAGAGGCAAAGGTTGCACTGAGCCATGATTGTGCTACTGCACTCCAGCCTAAGCAATAGAGCAAGACCCTGTGTCAAAAATAAAAATAAAAAAGAAAAGAAACAAAAGTACTTCATATGCTCTATACCCTCATCAGTATTTTAGGCAAAACTCACAAAAAAATACCCTAAATTGAGGAAGAGCTAAACAGGTTTGTTCCCCCTCAATATCTACTTTCAACTGCACTAACAGTTTCCAATTCTGGATCAATTGGCCTTTCTCATAAAAAAAAAAAAAAAACGAAAATTGCTCTGCTATCACAAATGTGCTTGGTAAACTAAGCTTGTTAAAATTGTTTAGCTAACCACATCAACAAAAAAAAAAAAAAAAAAAAAAAAAAGGCTGTGTTTATTCTTTACAACTTACATTGACCAGGACAAATGAGTAAATACTAGGGTTTTGAATGCCCCCAACTGGGCCCTCTTAAAAAATGAAAGTAAAAAAGAGAAGTGAGTAGCACCGAGAAATGCCTTTGTAAACCTGTGCTAAAGTAGAATAGCAATGCAAAAGATTTTTCAGGAAACAACATGTAATGCAGATAAAGATATTGTGAAGTAAGAGTTGAGTAACAGTTACTGCCTATTAGAACTTTCAGGTCCAGAGTAATAACTAAAAACCAAGTGGCAGACCACTGGCAATAACAAATTAACCCAGAAACGTCCCAGAGATCACTAGCACTAGTGTAGGTGGGCAACAGTAATCTTTAGATTATTCTAACAGTGTAATCTAAAGAATTCAGAAATTCTAGAAAACACCCTCACACAAAGCTGTGCTTATACCTGATGATGTTAGTCAAGTATGTGTCATTAGTTCTGTGTTCTATCCTTAAACCTATGGCTGCCATCTATAGCTTTTATCTAACTCTGGAGAAAAAGTATCAATCAATATGAAAATTACCTTTAACATCAAGAGATAACATTATACAAATTACAACTATAACAGATCACCCCCTAAAACGACTTTCCACGCCCTTTTGTAGATAAAGCTATGGTGCAGGCACACCAGTGGTTCAGGGTGCCCACCAAGCTTACAACTCAGGGGCCTGCAGAAGGCACTATAAACACAACTGCGAGGAACAGGGGAAGCTAATGACAATGGTGTGCTGAGAGCCTATGCCTCACCAAGAGGGGCCAAAGGACTCTTAGCTCTAGTCAATTATTTCCTTACTTTTCAAGAAACAAAAAGTCACAAAGTTTTTACATTGCTGGGCCACCATTGAAAAGAAAATATGCTTGTGGATGGAATATGCCAATGGCTGCTCTGTAACATGTGGAATGCAGCAATCTCACAGAAAGGTAATGAAAAGTGACTCATGACAACAACTAAAAATCTCCCTTTAACAGGAATCCTTACATTCTGTTTTCATGCATACATGATTCAACTACCTATACAAAATGGTTTAAAGTGTTTTTATAAAAGGAATATTTTGAGATAAGAGTAATCAAGAAACAAGTTATAGAAAGATCATAATCATATAAAAAGATTACACGGCTGGGCACAGTGGCTCCCACTTGTAATCCCAGCACTTTGGGAGGCCGAGGCAGGTGGATCACAAGGTCAGAAGTTTGAGACCAGCCTGTCCAATATGGTGAAACCCCATTTCTACCAAAAAAACAAAAACAAAAACAAAAAAATTAGCCAGGCATGGTGGCACATGCCTTTAGTACCAGCTATTCAGGAGGCCGACGCAGGAGAATCACTTGAACACAGTAAGCGGGAGTTGCAGTGAGCCAAGATCTGTGAACTGTACTCCAGCCTGGGCAACAGTGAGACTCCATTTCAAAAAAAACAAAAAAAGATTACACACTGACATCTACCCACTGAGGTTAGTGAAACCTGCAATGGTCTTTTACAAAATACTGTCATCCCTAGTGCTCATTTGTTCGTCATTTTCAGCCTCCATCCTTTTTCCCAGAAACAGAAGCAAAACTTTTCCTTTGGGAAACTCATTTTGTCCTATTCTCAACCATGCAGCTATCATATGGAGCTGACCCCATCCCCCACATAAGGGACCAGCCATAATTGACTCTAGGCAATCAGCATGTCCGATTCCACTGGCCCCAAGTTGAGATGGAATATGATCCAATTTGACCTAATGAGAGCAAGTTCTCAGCTTCTGAAAACATTATCTGGAGGGTATACCATGAAGATATAAAGTCTAGAAGCACTTCTTTCATCTGGCTCTCATAGGGAGAGAGCCTAGAGCACCCTATGAGTTGAAATTGACACCATGGAAGACACACTGAAGACATGGTACAAACTCAGTCTTGGTTACAAAGCTGAGTGCCTGTATCAGTCCTCATCTAAAACCATCCCATAGCCAATAAGCCTTTTACTGAATAAGCCCAATTTTAATGGTTTCTTTTCTCTTTCTTTGGGCAACTACAAATGAGAAACTCATGATACATTGGATTTATCTAACAATCTAAAGAATTCAGAAATTCTAGAAAACACCGTCACACAAAGCTGTGCTTCTACTTGATGATGTTAGTAAACTATGTGTCATTAGTTCTGTGTTCTATCCTTAACCCTATTGCTGCCATCTGTACCTTTTAACTAACTCTGGAGAAAAAGTATCAATAAACATAAAAAATACCTGTAACATCAAGAGATAATATTACACAAATTACAAATGTAACAGATCAGCCCCCAAAAATGACATGGGATTTCTTCTGGGTAAGCAGCACTGTGAGGGTCTGTGTGTTTGCTATTGTGCAGTCTGCAGCAGTAAAAGCCATTACTTCCTTTTGGTCACCTATTTTCCACAAGACTCCAATGGCATGTGGATTACCGTTTCATGACAAGACATCCCCATCAAAAAAACCACTTTTACAAAATGTAGCTTTCCTTTCCCACAGGTCACTTTTCAAAATGTTTTAACCACTTTATAGTACTGCTTGTACAAAATGATAAATGCCATATTAATTTCTCTGCAGTAAATGTATGTTATAAATATTACATGTAAACCAGCTACAGAAAGAAACAAAAAAGTGCTCCCCAAAGCAGTCTCAAGATTTTCAGGAAATACAAGATGTTACTGCATTCCTATCTCCCCCTGCTTCAATAAAAGTTGGGTACAAGTATGAAAGGCGTGTTATAAAAACAGGCCCACCTCAATAAACAGCAAAATTTATGACAGGTATTCTTACTGATAAAGCTTATGAGACTACTTGTTCCTTTTTGAAGGTGTTCATTGTATGATTCCATGGCTTCTCTCATGGTCACAGTCATGACCACTGGGCACTTCACTCCACTTCCCAAACACTGTATCATGTTTTGGGGACCTATGACACAGGACTTAAGACCAGGGAGTAAATTTGTTCTTTATCAACCTCACCAGCCTTAATCCACATGGTATCAGCATGGCAAGGGAAGCTCACACTTGCACTACTTCTCCCTTCTCTCCCAAATCCTCCATCATTTGAGGACCTGCTACACCTGCCCCGAAAGTATGTGACAAAGGGATTATATCCTGTCATTCCATTTCCTGACACATATGAACACCAAGAAAACATGGCCCTCATCATATCCATACAATATTACATATTACTTAAATGCTTGATGTTTTCTTTTTTGTTTGTTTTGTTTTGTTTTGTTTGAGACAGAGTCTTACTCTTGTCACCCAGGCTGGAGTGCAGTGGCGTGACCTCAGCTCACTGCAATCTCCACCTCCAGGGTTTAAGTGATTCTCCTGCCTCAGCCTCCCAGGTAGCTGAGATAACAGGAACCCGCCAGCATGCCTGGCTAATTTTTATATTTTTAGTAAAGACAGAGTTTCACCATGTTGGCTAGGCTGGTGCCAAACTCCAGACCTCTAGTGATTCGCCCATTTCAGCCTCCCAAAGTGCTGGGATTAAAGGCATGAGCCACCACGCCCAGCCTCAATGTTGTTTTCTAAGCTAAAAGAGTCTCTACATTTAACTTGCAGCTTTTTTCAAGCTGTTAGTTATGTTCTACTTTTAACTACTATCTTTCTAAAGGAATATTAGCTCTGATATCATCTTGACTGCATGAGAAGGCAATCCTCATAAAAACCAATTTCAATCCACATCAAATTCACTTTCTTAAGAAAAACATGCGACTATAAAAAAAAAAAAATGTCATGGCCAAGTGTAGTTTTTATCTGACTAATAGTATGAAAGTAGTTAGGTGCAAAATAAGAAAAATGCTCTTTTTAAGTAAGAAAACCAGCATTTCCATCAATGCTATCCAAAATAAGAGCTCCTTAAGTGTTTACAAAGCATATTCAGAATGTTCTGGTTAATGACAGATAAGGCTATGAGAAATATTTAAAACCTAAATGAAAAAGAATAAAATAAAAATCTATCTAAGCTATATCAAATAAAAACTTTGTAAACCAATAAGCCAAATTCACCTTTCTATCTGCCCAACCTGCTTCTCTCCTCAGACTTCCCTTCCCAGGAATGAAAGCTCAGTCTCCTCTCCTCCCTCTCCACCGCACGACACAGTGATTTCACTTCCACAGTGGTCCTCAGCTATTACTACCCTCCCATGTAATTTCAGATCCCTTATTGCTTCTCACTCAAAATGACTGCAGTCATTCCCTAACTGGTTTCTTATCTTCCACTTTCTCTTCTAACCAAGCAAACTCCAATGCTGGCAGATATACCTAATACAGCTGAATGGACAGCTCCTTCCCCTGTATAACCATGAGCTCACCAACGCTTACTTTATTAAAATCCCAGGGAGCATCCAAGATTTGGTCTCAGTCTTTTCCTCACAGAGACACCTAAACCCCCAAATTGTCTGACAGTCCCCCACAAAATTTCTCATACTCCAATTATCTGTGTCATCCCCCAAGCATATTATCTTGTAGCTCAATCTGAAGAAGCACCCGTCCACCCTACCTCAGTCAGGAGCACTATACTTCCTGGATTCTCACAGGTTCTAACAGCACATAGCAGTTAATAAGATTTTCTTATTACTCCTTCACAAAGTATAAAATATTCTCTAGAAAAGCTAAGGAGGCAGCCTGCAATCGATAAATTTTGCTGTTATAATTTTTCATAAATACTTGATCAAGAAATATTCACATGGCTGGGTCTAGTGCTGTGCACCTGTAGCCCCTGTTACTCAGGAAGCTGATGCAAGAGGACTGCTTTGAGCTAAGGAGTTTGGGATCATAGCCTGAACATAGCAGGCTATGATCAGACCTGTGAATAACAGCCTGGGCAATGTAAGAAGACCCTGTTTTTCAAAAAAATAAAAATCAAATGGCTAGGAAAAGGGAGACATTCTCCAAAGAACGTTCTACTGGAAAGTAACTGAAGAGTTTTTAAAATGTGTTCTGTGCTTTGAAGATGTGTTATTCCTAAGTTTATTAGAAATAGACCATATACAATCAAATGGAAAAAAAAGCATGAAATTCAGTGATGAAAAAGAAACAAGATAATCTTTAAAAGTTCTTTATTATGAACTTCCCCACCATAAATTATTTTATAACCATGGACCAACCAGCAGTCACACCTCACAACCAAAAGGTAAAATGTTGATGTAATAACACTACAGAGTCAATAAAAAAGGCAGACAACCAAAGGACTGTCAAGGGGAAATGACAGGGGAATGTACGTAGTCATTCGTTTAACTGAGTTCACGTTCCAAGAATGTGTAAAAACAACCTTTGCCATCAAATCATTTCCAAATATGTATTCTCCATTTCATTAAAGAGAAAAAAACAGGGCAGAATTTAAATAATAGAGAAACAGTAACATGGAAACTGTATATCTGCATTTCACTTTAAAACTACACTGCCTAATCATATCTGTCACTCTCAGATTTAAAGCTACCAATCTCAGAGCACAGAAAAAAATCTTTGGGCTAATCCAGGTGGGACAGAGAATTATGTGCAAAAAACAAATTATTTTCTTTCCAAACATAACCCTGAAGCACAGTGGCTCCACAGAGAGGGCTGACTTCTGAAGTTGCACAGGCTGTGGCAGAAGTGACTGATCATAAAAATCATACAGATGTAAACTATTTTGACCTAAGAGCATCCTAAATTCACATTCTGGAGATTGAAAACTCCATGAGTAAGGTGAGAACAGTGGGACACTGTTCCACCACCCAGTGGCACACAAATTCAAATGGTTACAAATACTAAATGGGAAGGGGGCCTGGACTGACTTGATGGCCTTCATTGCAATCATTGTCCCCAACACTTTCATTGTAAGAAGCATAATTCAGAGCTGAGAAGCCAGGGTCTAACTGTGCAGGTTTGGGTGGGCCTTAATTTCTTTGTACCTCAGCTTCCCCATCTGTAAGAGGCAGAATCTCGTGTATCTCACAGTTTATTTAAAAAAAAAACAAGTCCTCACACCTGTGCCTGGCTTTGGCAGTGGCCACCCACCCCAACATTCACTTTCCCCTTCCTATTAGTTCCAAATGGCTTCCATGCTATATCTAAAAAGCAAATTTTAAAAACATTAAACATTCAAAGCAAATATTTCTACTGAAATACCGTTGTTTGGTATTTGTGTTCAATAAAATCAAAAGCACCTTTTGTATGGATAGGAGAGTTGACTACAGAAAATATTTTCTTTCTCAATTCATAACTTGGGGGACAATTTAGCTCTAATTTTTATTTTACACATAGAAAATATCCATGAAATACTCTTAAGTTATGAAGAAATTATTTCTTAAACAAAAAGTACCGCCATGACCAAAATAAGAGAAAAATAGCTTCACCTCAATTCTTCCCACTTGGGTATTTTAGTGATGACATGCAACTTCCTGGAACACTAAGTATAGCTACAAATATTTGTCCTCAATGAAACAGAGAGAAAAAAGTGGCTTGTAGAAAATCAAATGGAACTTGTATTAAAAAATGAAAAATACACGTATTTCCACTATGAATAAACTTCCACACAAAGCCAGGTTAGCTAAGCTCATTCTCAAAAGGAGGCATATGATTCATCTCTCTGTTAAAAGATTAATTCTCATTATTCTAAAAATTAAATAGAATTCTGAGAACTAGGGCACTTTAGTGCTTTCACATTTGGCAATCCAGACACAGAAACTGTGGCTTGAGTGGACTTTTAAGTGCAATTGCTTGTACTTTTCAGTTTTGTCACTTCTCACTTACTTGTCTGCAAATTTGTCTTTTCTACAAGCATGTTCTTCAGTGAGTCCTGTACATCGATGAAGCATACATATCTTAAAAGAAAGATCCTTTCCTAGCCTACGATGACAAAGTTAACACTGGTTCTTAACATAAAAAGTTGGAGAAATATTTGCTTTTTCCCTCCATGTTTATCATTTATAGTCCTCACTGGCAAATAATAATCATACGAATTTAGGAGAATGTCAGAATACTAGAAACATGACCAATATCATCATAAGCATCCTTACATTTTTTTCAAAAGTCTCCTTAGACCTTCCCTAAATTCTCCCTAGCTAGATACTTCTCATTTCATCTTTTGAGAGAGTTTTCTTTTTAAAAACTAATACCAAGGGATCCATTTTAGATCCTGGAAAGGTATCTTATTTTTTCTTACCTAGAAAACTGACCAAGTATTATTAAAAGAAATCAAAGCACCTACCAAGCCACTGAAGCATTAGAAGAAACCAGACCCTAACTAACCAGGAAATAACTTTGCATTTATACACATCAACTTCGAATCAGAAAATTTAGAACTCTTGAAAATAAGTTTGTTAGGTCCCCCACTATGCTAGTCGCCTTTCAGACATTCAGTAAACATTTGTTCAGCCAAAAACACAACGAACATTTAACCAAACAATTTAAATATATATAATAGGGTTCCTTTATATACACTCTATTAATTACTAAATACTATTTCAATTTATTATGCTGTTTCAGTCAAATAGACAAATACTTGTAACAAGTTGTCTCATAAATTGAAAATATGCAATATATTCTTCAGTGAAAAATTATAAACTATAAAATAGTATGAATAACACTTAAGTGGGTATATATAAGCATAGAAAAAATTTAAAACTTCTGTACCAAAAATATTAACAGTAATTATATCTCTGCATAATGATGTTCCTTTTTTATTTCTATTTCCAGATTTTTCTATAATGAACACAAAAGAAGATAAATAAAACATATACATTAGCAGACTCTGTAAAACACATCTTTTTGTTTGTTTTTTTAATAATGCATGTCTCAGCAGGGATACAAACTGCAACTATTTTTTAAATTCTAACTTTGAAAAACTTCATTACTATGTATACTGAAGAAACATTTGCTTAAACACCTTATATCTTTAACTATTAATCTCTGTCAAAACATAAAGAGTGATAATCTTTGAAATCATTATGACATAGAACATATCTTGGATACTTTAAAAAAAAAAAGACTAGGTACTAAATTACACAAACAAAGATCTTTTCTCTAAAAAATATGACAAGTGAATTGCTTAAGAAAGCATACATATAATTGTATATATTAAAAAAAAAAAAAAAAACTTCTTTAGGAGACTTTAATGCAGTTAAACTACTTGCAAACCACAGTTTCATCTACGTCAATATGCAACATTTTAAAACCACACAAAAAGAAAAGGAAATTTTTAGTAAAGCCAGCAGCCTGCAATGGGGCTGCTACTGCTGTGGCTAACCAAACAGCTCATGCTTCTCTGAAGACGTACAGCAAGGGCTGCTGAGGCTCACGGAAGACAGCCCCAGGTATGTCTTTTTAAATACTTAATATGCTCAAATGCTTTTCCATGAAAAAGAAATTTGTTATTTTTAGTATTTAAAGCTTATAAATAGAAAAAGTCAGGCTGTATAAGAAAGCATCAATTTTTAAACTCTAAATAGGTCCTAGCTGTGAATGATGCTATTATTTTCTTTTCTCTGATGAACCCATTCATCTGTCTCCAAAAGACAGCATAACTGACACCAGACTGAATACCTGGGTGAGCATAACTCAGTGTTATAACTGGGTGGATAGAGGCCACGTTGTAAATCTTCACAACAGGGAACAACAGCCCTTAAGATGACTTTCCTCTATAAACATTACAATAGGTAATTTCAAGAAAATTCCACTGTGACTCCCATAGAACATCTAATAAATTTATTTATTTTTTTTTTCTTCGAAAAGGAGTCTCACTTTTTCACCCAGGCTGGAGTGCAATGGTGAGATCTCGGCTCACTGCAACCTCTACCTCCTGGGTTCAAGAAATTCCCCTGCCTCAGCCTCCCAAATAGCTGGGATTACATATGTGTGCTACTACACCCAGCTAATTTTTGTATTTTCAGTAGAGACAGGGTTTCACCATCTTGGCCAGGCTGGTCTTGAACTCCTGACCTCAAGTGATCCACTCACCTCAGCCTCCTAAAGCGCTGAGATTACAGGCGTGAGCCACTGTGCCCAATCAGTTTATTTATTTTCTAAGCAATGGGCACTCTATCCAAAATACAGAGACACTTAAAACCTTTTATTGTTGCTGGCTACTTCTGGGTATCTCACATTTTCACTGGCAAATAACTGTCTAGTAAAATATTTATTAAGCACTTAGTTCTCAAACTTGTGACACAGAACACAGGATGTTATTACACGATTGTTTAACCTCAAATCTACATAAGCAAAAATTTTAAACAGAATTGTTTTTCACTGTAATTTAAACAAAAGTTCATAAATGCAAATGTGAGAAATGGGAGATGCTCCATGATTCTTGAGAAATACTGAATTATTCGTTTCTAATAAATCATTCATGTATGGTATATATCATCAGTTCTAGTTACAGAGAAAATTAAAAGAAATTATTCTAATTCTTCTCTTTATCATATAAGCCTCATTGATATAATAGTCTTATTTTATAGTTGTACAATCAATGGAGCACTTAAAGTAACACATTATTATGTCACTATTTTTTTTTTTTTTTTTTTTTTT